ATAGTAATCATTAATTTATAAACTTTACCATGAAAACAAAGGTTACTGCAGTCAGAGATCTTAAAACATTAAAACATGAAAATGTCTGTCACCATGATCTTTGTGTATATGATAGCTCTAAAAACACTTGAATCATATATTGTTTGTAAAAGTTTTAAATCAATGCATTATCATGAGAACTGTCTGTATTTTAACTACTTTGTCAATATTTTATTCTATGAAATAAAACATAAACTCCTAAAAGTGGGTATTGATAAATAGTAATTAATTATTCAGAATTAGAAAAAAGAAACCACACAATGAGTTTCTGGTTGCCAGATGTACATGTTGTTCAGTCTGATAAATCAGTCAGCATTTTTAAAGCTGTAGCTAAAATTTGCTAATATATCATTCTGAATAATCTAGAATTAGGTACTCCATGACTAAAGTTAGTGAAATATCTCCATTTTTTTCAATAAGATGTTAAAAAGTCAGTGTCCTACCTAAACATAGAAGCAACGTATGCACAATGGCAAAACATACATATGCTGTGATTTCACATGGCCTGTAAATATGTATGGTTATAACAAGAGTCTCATGAGGACAACTGCCCTGAGAATAAAACAAAACAATATAAATTAACAGCAGCAGTCAAACAGGGTTCCAATTCCGGCCTTGTTACTCTTACTACTTATATAGTGCTAGGCAAACCCCTTCACTCCTTCATTTTCTAAATGAGAAAGTTAGAATAGATAAAGTTTATGATGTGTTTATATCTAGGAATTGTGTTTGCTGTATCACAGTGCATTGTTTGCTTCAAATATATATTCATTAATCCAAAGTACTTCAGAATGCTAGGAACAGGCCCCAAGTGTGTCCATGGAACGCTTCATGGATGAAGCCATATGTAGCATTTAAACTGATCTGATTTTTGAGGATCAGAACTCCTTTGAACCCTAGTGTTAACTTTCTTCTACTATGTATTGCTGTATTAATATATGGCATTAGTTATTATGCAAAGACAATAACAGGGGCTTATAAGTCTTTTGATTACTTACAACACCAAGGAAATGGATGAAAATACACTTAACATACATTCAGTAATGGTGATTTCATCACTGATAACAATGTGAGTTGAAAATAAATCAAGTTCATTTTGGCAAGAATGATTATTTTTGTGTGTAGTGTCTCTTCAAGACTTCTATAAAACCAAATACAATGAAATACCATGTCTATCCCGGCCCGCGGGATCGTCACTGCAGGTCCTGGAAGAGGGGGTGGGAATTTGGGGAACAAGAGATAGGAGAAATGGAGATAAGACAGTGCTCTGATCAAGTCCCGTTTAAAGGTGGTAATGCAATGCCTTATATACACTTGGAGGGGAAGGGGTTGGGCCAAGGCGAAAATGATCTCATCGCGGAGGGTGTGGCCAGGTAGGTATTGGTAGCGTGATCGAACGTCATGTGGCGCCTGCGCTGTCAGGTAGCAATTTTCGCGGGCGCGGGAAAAATGGATGAAGAAGAAGCAGGAAGAGCGCCATCTTTTATGAGGTATTAATACAGGGGAAAAGGCAAAGATAGGGAGGAGGTGTAAGGTGGGAGTGAACAAATCTCAGGCGTTTTTAATCGTCAATTATTATTCGCTATGGCCGGGGCGTGCAGCTCCGGACACATGTCAATGCCCAGAGATTTTCTACAAGACAAGCAATTCTAAATGCCTTACTCCTTATATAATCCATTTTCTCACTGGTAGAACTTAAGAGATGTGAAGAGGTAAATAATTACTTGTGGAAAGTCAAGTCTTCATGCTGTTCATGTTTCAAAATTCTAAAACAAAAGTACTCTCTTTAGAAAGTGTACAATTTTAAATAATTTAAATTGGAAATACATGAACCTGTGTGTGTAATTTGTTGTTTTGCATTGTTTCCTTTCTTCATTCACTCATCTGCTGAAAGATATTTACTAACAGAGGAGTATTTGTCTGTTTGATTTTGCTTTCAATACAGCTAGAAGAGGATTTTACATCTGGCAATCTTCTTTACGTTACCTATACATAAGAATGAATACAAATATAATAAATCAAATTTGCCTTTTAAAAAAGCTAGTTGTAAGACAGATAATGTTGCTTCCAAAAAAATTTGATTGTTAAATAATATAAGTATCCATGAGATCATTCTTCATGTGGCTGCCAGATATAAAACCACTCCTCCTGAGAAAGTCTTTTAATTGTGTCTTATTTTACAATAAAAGCTTGTCCTTTTATGATACCCCAGCTTCTTCATAGAAGTGCTCTATAGGGAAAAGAAATGGAGAAGAATCCTCAAATTCACTGTAAAACAATTTCTTAACTGCCAGGAGATTCAGCCTTCCCTTCCCAAATAGCTATCATTTGTATACACATGGGCAATTTTCTTTTTATGTAGAAAACAATCTCCTAAAATAATCTTGCAGAAACTCATATATGGGGAACTTTGGTGATCTGTCTTTGGATATTTGTGTTTATTTTTATTGAAAAGTAAACAGGTTATGGCAAAACAATTATTCAAGTTGGTAGTATTCCTCTTCTTTTTTTTTTTTTTTTTTCCAGAATGAAGGTTTAATTTTGAGATATCAAATACCATGAAAATATAGTAGAAGAGCTACTTTAAATAAAGGTTACGTTGAAGTCTCTTATGGTGTGACTTCTCAGTTTGCGTATTCCTCTTCTTAAAAAGTGCTGTTGATTACATACCTATTAGCTATCATAAAATAATGAAAAATACAAAATAAATTACAGATATATTGAGATGACCTACTACATCTTCATTAGGTCTCTCTCTGTCTCTCTAACCTGTGTTTGTATGTGTTTGTACATACATATACGTATAATATATGAAGGGGCATAAAGGAGAGAATAAGCCATTATTTTTAAAAGTGGCAATTTAATGACAAAGGGATGCTCATGTCACATTCTTTAATCCTGAATCAAGGATTAAGCCTTTTTAATTAATTGGGCAAAGGCATTCAGGCAGCTTAAGGCAGCTTAGATGGTGCTGTAGTTTATTTAATAATATAGCAGCAAAGAGGAGCTTTCTCTCCTCCATGATATAAGAGATTCTTTCAAAGAGGGTAACATCACTGATATAATTCTTTCTTATAGAGAGGAAAGTTTCCATCCCATTGATGGAGATAAATGAAAGATATTGGAAGAACACTTTTATAAATGTACAGTAAGTAATTTCATGTAATTTAGTAAAAATTGATTTGTTAAATAAGTATTAATACAACCAATATCAAATAAATTGACTTAAAAAGATTTATCCAGCATGATTATACACTACTACCACTATAGAACAAAATTTCAGTTTTTGGACATGAGTCATAAATTGCATTGATGTGCAATGGCCAAAGTGTAACTTCTGTTTAAATCAAGGAACAAAGCTAAGATAATTAAAAGTCTACTTTTTTTTTTTTGTTTAATGGCCAAGTTCAGGTGAATAATGCTGAGGATACTGAAAGAAGAATTGGAATTCTGAATCTGTCAGTTAGCTGCTGAAAGAGACCAAATTGGTTGCTTAAGTAAACAATCAAACAAGGAGTATAATAAAAGTTGTTCTTTAGCGGGAAGGAGAAGAAATTGGAAATTCAGGTCAAATAATCAAATTTCTGAGAAAGTCTCATAGATCACAAAGAATTAGAGACCATTATTATCTTTCTCAACTCTCAACAACCAGTAGGAAAACAAATTCCACAAAGGGTTGTGAATGAAACATTTAAACCGTTAAAATCTCTTGCTTTTGGAAACAATTGTAATTTTGATGTCAGTTTTAAGTTATATCCAGAATAAGGATTGTACTTTGGTTTTGGGGGTATACTTACATGGCTTCTTAAACAACTTTGTTCCTCTTCATTATAAGTTAAAGAGTGAACATTATTACTTTAGGCAATTAACGGCAAATAAAGATTAAAGAAATATTTCCCCCATCCCTAAGAAAAGAATGTTTTTGAGGGCATGTCTCTGTCTGCACTCATGGATCCATTCCAAGTGTCCTCCAGGCACGGGAATATCTTAAGTCTTCCTAATACCTCTATGTACCTGATTAGAATTAGAAAATATTGGCAGATACTCGACTGAGTAAAAGAAGTGCAATAACATGAATTCTGGCCTTTATTTGTTCTTCTCTTGAGAATGTAATTTTTAAAATAATATTTTGGAGATTTTGCTATTTACGATGCTAAATATTTTTTAGTAGATAAATATCAAGCATTTCATAGGCACACACATTTTCTCTTAGAAATTGTTACTTAAAGAATTTCCACCTTTGTGCTTCCAAACTTTGGAAGCTATTGAAGAAATTTTGGTTTTCAGTAAACCTTTTAATACATAACTCTTGATTGATTTCCATTAATATATACAATAATTGATTTTACATTACCCATAATTAGTCTTCATACCATGCAGCACAAACCATATTGTTTTTATCAACAAGAAGGTTTCTCATTAAAAGTAAAATAAATAATGTATATTCTGCCTTTAGAGCAAAGTTGGATATTAAAAGTCAAAATATTTAATAGATCATTTAGGAATCACTGAAATATTGTTGAGTAAATTGAAGGGAGTACTTCCTTACGGAAAATGTGTTGCTTCATAGCCCAGTGCATGAGTTCGTGTGGTGTTCAGAAAACATTCCCAGATTACCTTGATTAATTTCACTTTGTCTTGTGAAAGCGTGCAGGTATGATTGATTCGTTGATTCTATAATTAGAAAGGATAGAAATAAAACATTTCCTTTTGTATTGCATCAGAAAATGATTTGCTTGAAAGGGAAAACGGCTAGACGTACTTTAAATTTAGCTTCCTTTTAATCATACCAAAAATTAAATAGCCTGTTTCACACCATGAACAAGATACTTCTATGTGTAAACAACAAATAGAAACCTCCCATAGTGTGTGTATGTCTGTATGTTTGTGTGTATGTGTGTTAATCCTTACTTGATTGCATGACAAGTAAAGCTAATTTAAGAATGCACAATTAAAAAATAGAGTTTTCATTTTAGTTTTATTGTAGTGAGTAGTATTTTTAATTTTCTTGAAAGGCACCCAAGAATAATTACTTTTGTGAACCAAAAATATATAAAACTGTACAGAATAAATATTTCATAGAAATCTAACTATACCTTCTTGTAAAATAAAGCTACATTGTCCCTCTCTTGAGGCAACTTAAACCACTTACCTTTAGAAGTGCCTTTTGCTACTGATTTATGGCATCTATCAATATACATCAATAAAAATAAAATAATTTTTCCTATTTACTTTACAACTGTGAATTACTTGCCACAAGAAATGTATTTCTATCATGGTCATTCAAATTTACAAAGAATTAAGCCTATGAAATAAAGCAAACCCAATAGATTCTCTAGTCATATTTACAGCAGAATCTCAGTAGCATTTTAAAAATATCCCTAGAAGAAGAATTAAACTTTGAACATAAATGACATACTTTAGTTCACAGCAGCACTGACATTAAAATTATCTACACAAAATGTGTAGAAAACCCCCCAAAATATGCTTATTTATTCCACCTGAACTATTAATCATTTTAACTTCTTAAACTTAGAATGCACGAGAGTGGCATTTGTTTAAGCTCAAATGCTCAAAGTTTTGAGCCACCCATGACCTATGTAATTACAACCTTTGTATTTTTTCTTCACTGTTTGTAATTTATAATTGTCAAGTTCCAGTTTCTTTTGCATTTATTGCAAGAAAGTTAGGTATGTTTGACAATATACATTTTTGAAGTACATACTGGTTATAAACAATGTATTCCTTACATATTATAACTACATATACAGGTATGGTTTTTAAATGATGAAATCCAATTGTAATTTATAGGGAAAGCAATTCAAGAAAATTCAGGATACTTAAATGTTCAACCTTTTTAGATGTGCAAGAGGACTCCTATGAGACACTTTTCAGTATATGGAGAAATATTACTATAACCCTTGAATGATTTACATGCAAGGTTTTATTTTATTTGGGACAGACTAAATTGCCTGAAGATAATGCCATGGCTTCTCCCAATGATCCCTGAGTTTATTTTTCTTCCTTTTTTCCCCCGTAGTTTACTACTGTGCTTAAGTTCTGATTGATGACACACTCATGTAAGGCACTTATTTACAAGGTATGGACTTAAAACAGAATCACAGCATTTCTGTGAAAGCCCTCAAACTCTCCATCTATGTTTGCTGCTCCAGGACTTCTAAATAGTCAGGTTCAGCATGTAAATTAGCTTTGAGTTCAAAATACTCATTTTTCGTCTGTTCCACTAATACCTTCCTTGGACGTGAGTACATTAATGTTTCCATTAATTTCAGTTCTTCGTGGGCTCCTGGATAATGTGCCTCCATATCAGGCTGGAGCTGAGCAATGTTTTTCCTTAGGTATTCTGTGATTCCTAGTTGCTGAAGTTCCCTTTCTTTTTCTAAAATGTTTCTATACAATGAACTGGCATCTTGGAAGGATAAAAATTCTGTCGATTGGTTCGTGGTTTTGTATTTCATATTGGACCCTGTGAGTGGTGAATGATTTTCCCGTTCCAAAAGACTTCTTTGGAGATGTTTTGCGTCACTTCCTTCTTTCTCATTCCCCTCTTCTTCCTCTTCCAAATGCTTTGGACCAAAGGAGGGACTCCTATAGACATGAACCATGGGGCTCACCATGTGCTGTTCATAGAGAGAGGCAGAGGGTCTTTCAGTAGTGTGATGAGTGGTTTTATGGCCATACATGCTGTACTGAAGATGCACAGGACTGTTGTCCCTCATTTGCTCATCTACTTGTTTCTTTTTGTATCTTCTCCTGCGGTGAAGAACAAGAACCACTATCCCTGCAGCACAGAACACAATAGTGATGAACACAATCAGAAGTCCCAATATTAGAACAGACAGTGGCACAGCGTCTGTAAGAGATCGTAAAATAGTATCGGCCGTATTCGTTGTTGTTGTAGGAGTGGTGACAATAATGTAACTAGTCTGTGTTGGCATGGATGGGTTATTTACTAAACCTGGACAGAGAAGTTCACTATTTAGGGCTTTTAATTCCTTTTTGTCGAGATGCCCGGGAGAAGTGCAGAGGATGTCATCTGTCACTGTGTTCTTGCTTAGCTTTTGTATCCATTGTTGCAGTCCAACCAGGTCACAGGAGCAGTCCCAGGGGTTATCCTCAAGGTCAATCTGGGTTAGTAAATCAAGATCATCCAAAATATTACTTACAGGTAGATGGGTAAACTGGTTTGTTTTAAGATTTACCTTAGTTAGAGGAACCCCTGAAAAAATATGTGGTGGCAAAACTTGGAGGAGGTTGTTATTTAAGTAAAGGACTTTAAGTTTAGGCATTGGATTAAATGTTTCTGGCAGTATTTCCTTAATGGCATTGTATTCAAGATATAAGTATTCAAGATTATGGAGGCCAAGGAACATGCCTTTACTTAATTTGGTCAGATGGTTACCATTTAGATACAGCTTTTGTAATCTCGTTAGGTTCATAAATGATCCTTCTTCAAGAACTTCAATACGATTGTTTCCCAAGTGAAGCATTTCCAAAGTGAAATATTCCACTAGATCAGACTTCATTAAACTATGAATAATATTTCCCGCTAGAATGAGCTTTCTAGGATTTTGCGGAGGAGGTCTCAGATCTGATAAGCTCTCAATGTTGCGCTCCTGACAATGTATTAGAAGTCCTGATGGGGATAGGACTTTGCAGTTACAAGGAATAGGGCAGTAAGGTCCTGGAAGTTGAGTAGATGGCTTTGTAATATAAGGTATCAAACGTGGTGCTTTGGTGGGTGGTTTTAGAATGGATGTGGTCTTAGTTGACATGCGACTATCATTTATTGAAGATGTTGCTGCCAAATGTAATGATCCTGAAGGATCCTCATGTTCTTCATACACTGGTGGAGTGGGGCAAATGGATTCCTTCTTTAGTCTACTGAGTACACTTCCTTTAAAAAATGGAGGGCTATTGCAGACAACATCACCAATTATAGACTGCGGAGGCATGTTCTCCAACCAAGTTTTTAACTGCAGTAAGTCACAATTGCAGGCCCATTTATTGTCCTCCAACTGAAGATCCAATATTCGGCCAATGTGTTCGAGAAAGCCAACATAAGGCAATGTTTGTAACTGATTTCCACGAAGATCTAGATGGGTTAAAGGAACAAATCGGAAGATGTTTGGAGGAAGACTCTCAATAGCATTATCATTTAAAATTAACACTTTGAGTCTGTTGAGCTTGCTAAAGGCACTTGGTTCAATCACTGTGATAAAATTGTTATCGGCTTGCAGGAATTCCAGGTTTTCCAGTCCATGGAAAGTATCCTCTTTAAGAATTTCTAAAGAATTGTGATTGATATGAAGTTGCTTAAGGAGGCCAAGGCCATTAAATGCACCTATCTCAATATCTGCAATATTGTTAAATCCAAGGTGTATTGAAATAGCATTGGTAAGCCCAGAAAAGTCATTTGTGTGAAGCATTGTCAAGCCATTATTTAATAAGCTTAGTTGGAAAGGTCGTGATGGTGGCACACTTATTTCAGATACTGTCTTGATACCTTTTTCTTCACAATTTATTAGCATCGTGCCATCTTTTTCCTCACAATTGCAGAGAGAATCACAAGAGCTTCTGACTGAGAACACTGGAGTTTGGGACTGTAAAGACATACAGGCAAGGAGAGATGAATAAAAGAGATGAATCCACAGCTTCATGTTGTCATGTGATGAAATCCGATTCTGTAAAATAAAACGCAATAGCAAGGGACTTTAGTGGGCAGAACTGGGGAGGAGATGAAGCTGACATTTTCAAAATAATAGGTCTTTCTCCAAAAAGCAAGTGACTGACTACCATGAAAATATGGGTAGCTTACTGCATTTACATAGTTTTTTCTTTTTTTTTCTTCCTAATACTCAGTCAGGCAAGTCTGACTGACTTTTAACTTGCATTGTGGTCAAAATATAAAATTTAGGTCAAGGGGAATTTAAAATATTGTATCATAATTTGTGTTCACATCTGATGAATAACCTGCATTTTAACAGATGAGAGAGGTGCTGCCTTAGAGCATTGATACTTCACTATGATGCAAAGTTACATATTTGAAAACTTTTTTTTTTAACCTTAAGGTACATAAATTTAAGACTGGAGGATTATCGTATAAGACAAATATGTAGTTGTTAGCCATAAGCGTAGAGAACTTTAGAGAATGTAAAAAATGATAAAAAGAGTGTATGTGTGCATATGTGTATGTGTGTATACATGTCCTCATGTAGCGTGCATTGTCTTTCTTTATATTGTTGAACTGTGTGTCACACAATAATATCTAATAACTGTGTCTGTGTTTTAACTTGCTTTGGTTTGGGTTTAAAATTACATCTGTAGTATACATATGTGTGTGTGTGTGTGTATATATATATATTTACACACACTAATTTTATTTTTTATTTTGAAAACCTTGAGGAAAATATGTCTTTGATCATGTAATAAAGTATAGTACAATAAGAACTCTATTAACTACTCAATCTAGGGCAGTTTGTATAAGCGTAATAGTATCAGATATATACACTTAAGAGTGACCATTCAAATTTCACTTAAATCCTTATATTTAATATTGAATTTCTAGAAGCAGTATATTTCTTACTGCTTTTTAATTATGTTTTAGATGAGGTTGAAATAATAAAAACTAAAGAAGAAAGATTAATCTTTAATACACATTTCAGGCTGTTGTAAAAGAATAAACAATGCTTCATCTAAACTTCTAGCAAATGACTTCCTAATGAGGTTTTGAAACAGTCTTCAGGGCACTGAATGTCATCACATAATTAAGCAGCTGGTCTCCTTGATTATAAGACTTTAAGTCACGAACAATGAAGTCTGAAACAAACTGTATCATATTAAACTTTTTGATGGTGTTTCAAATTTGGTAAAAGAAAAAAAAGATGTTTCAGAATAACATCATGTATTCCAATCCTGAAACATGTAACAAATGCATCTGAAACAGCAATTCTTAAAAAGATTTTGTCCTTTAAATGAGTTATGCAAGGTAAACATTTGTAGCACTAATGATATCTAATTTTATTTCCTTCCTTTAAATATTATACTTTATATAAACTACATTGAAATATAAACACCACATCTTATGACTATTCAACTTTTCAAAACAGTAATCAGTTTTCATTTTTGTTGTTTGAAATGTGAACAGTAACTGAATCAAATTAAAATTCACAATCAGGTAAAACATACCAGAACCCAATCAACCATCCTGAAAGTAAACTTTTATTCCCTGAAAACATAGTGTTTTATTGAAAACACATATAGTACAAAGTTCCTGAAAGGCAAAAGACAACTAAAGAAACAAAACAACATACTGTGTTTCTATGTGAAGAGAAAGTTAGAAGACTTTATTTTTCTCTAGGGAAATAGTTTGATTTTAAACAGCTTTGTGAGCTGAGGTTATAAACAAGCAGCATGTAATTGGGGTCTTCAACTTGTGGATTAGCTTCCACAAACACTCAAAGTACTTATTCATAAATTACCAAGAGATAATAAGATTTATTTCACCAGGTATAGCATCAGAGAAAACAGCAAATAATTCTTCAGTGATTAAACTCTTGTTATTTTTTAAATCCTATATGAATTTTGTGCTCTTCAAAATGTGCTAGGAAACAGTTTCTCATCTCTTCAGAAACACACACAAATGTGAAAAGTGGTTCTCTACTGACAATATCCGATACAGTGGTAAAGAGGTCAAAAGATACTCATTGACATATTTTCTGAGAATACATATTTTCAAGTCAGAAAATAATATAAGTAGCATACAAAGTGCAAAGAATTATTCAATATTCTGCTTATATTTGCGATTCAACATTCACATTTGGAAGCGATCCTTCAGAAAGCATACATATTTAGTTTCTAACAACAAACTGCATGTTGTAAAAGAAATAGTGGAATATTATATTTGTTCTTCTCTACAGCCAGCTGTTAGACTAAATGTCTGCTGCTCAGAGAATACAGGCATCTGCTACAGTGTTAGTTGTGCCAGTAAGCAAGAATGAAATTGAGTATCCTTTAATGCAAAGTTGTTTGTTTAAAGGAGGCGAACATACAAATTCAATCACTTTGCTATAATGCAAAAATAAGTATAAGAAAAGCCTGGAAACATTCATCTTACCTGTAAAGCAGAGACTCTTCCTGACGTTATCTGTAACGCACAGCTGGAAGAGGTGTTCAAAGTAATTCAGTTCCTTTATTAAAAAAGAAAACACCAACCACTGGGTACTTTCTTCTCAAATATCACTTTTTGTCAAATCCCATAGGTTCATAAAGTTAAAACCTCTGGTCAAAGATAGAATACTGAGCAATTCATTGAAAAGATTTCAAGCAGAGTGCATACTAGAGCATCCTGAAGCAATTGTCCCTTTTTCCCTCAATTAAAATTCACAGCATACTTCCCAGCTATGCTGACTTTTTTGCATATAGTTAACCATTTGCAAGCTGCTGAATGCAGTAAGTAAACAAGATGTTTAACAGAGCTGGGACTGATCACTCTTGCTTTCTTAGTTTGTAGATCCAAGCTGCAGCAATGTTCTCCTTCCTCCTTTTCTAGTATTTCTTGTTAGCTCAGTTTGTTATTAGTCAGATTGCCAAGGGCTGGGAGGTAGGCGTAAATAAAGAGACTTCTTGGCTTTTGACTCAGCCTGTAAGCCCTTCCCCATCAGAGCGTTTTAATCTGCCAGTGTCACATAACACACGAGACAGCTCCACCTTGGGACTGCTCAACTCCTCCTCTTTCTGCAAATGGTCTTTCCACTCCCTTTCAATACCAAATACAGTGCGAGTGAATTTTGATGGAAATAATAACACGTCGTTTTAAATGCTAAATAGTATATTGTGTTATTATAGCAAGCTAAATAATACGTTATGTTAAATTCTCAACTAACACTGTTCTGTAGTGTTTGCACACATGTGTGCAGGAAACACAAGAATGTCACCTATAGAGGAGTTGCCTTTTTTTTTTTTAAATCTGGTATTTATAGTTGAAATTGTGCACTCACTAGATTGTAAAATGTTAACAGGAACAGCTTCCCTGCAATATTTGTATTTTTGTATTCACCATTTAACTTTTTTAAAGCCTTAACTTAGGGACTCTAAGTTTTTACTTCATTATTTCTTTCCCTAGAGCTAATATTCAATAATTAAACTTAGAAATGAAGCTCTTGCAGTTATTTTAATATATTTATTTCGAAGAAAAGCATAATTATTTGAAAATATATTTAAAAATATTTAAACACAAAATAGTTATCATTGATCAAGTTCTGTTTATCACTTTCAAAAATATAAGATTATATCTTTACAGATAAAATGAAACAAGTAAAATACATAGATATTGCAATAACCTGATTTCTATAGTGCTAGCTCAGAGAGAATTTATTCTTAATAGGTTATATCTTAAAAGTTACATGTTTCTTCAACTCTTAAAAGTTTCTGAATCATCACTATTATTACTCTTAATTGTCAGATTCCTTATTCCTCAAAAAGCCTGTGGTTTAAAAAATTGTTGTTCTTGTCTACCTTCCTGAACTTTTTAACATCCCAAGTGCATATACTAGATGCTGTCTTTTATTTGTTTGTTTTGTTTAGAATAAACACAGATTCTAGTGGCCTTCTATGTAATAGTAGGTGTCATTTCAGAAAGTGCTATTTTTAAAAAGGAGAGTTGATATAGTTTAAATCATCAAAATAGAAGAATATCACATTATTATTTAATGATATACACTTAGATTCATATAGTTTTATAGTCTCAGGGTGGCATATTTGCTCTAAAAATATAAGGGCTCTGTGGGAATTTTCAATATTCTCACTTTCCTTTGTATTTCCCAGTAATTAAGTTTCTCATTTATTTTAATGGCATTTTATGCTTTAACATGGAAAAGAGATGATGATACAGAGGAGGGGGTTGGAAAATAGAGTAAAAATTAAAAAATAAGAGAATGAAGAGTATAAGTGAAATTAAATATGATTAATTAGTCTTTGCCTCAATTTCCTGCTAGCTGCTAGCCAAATTAACTAAATCAAGGTAATGATTTAGATAGATAGTTAGAAACTGGAATTTTAATCAATAAAAAATGAAGGGGCAAGAATAATTTCCCTCCCAACTCTGTAGTCCTAATTCTCCACATGCATTGCTTTAGGTTTTGAAGTCAAGTGCATAGGAGAAATATTCTAGTAGCATAGTATGTGGGGCAAAATTTTTCAAGCCTACATGTGGACAAATGAAAGTAATTTCTTTGTAGATTGACACATGTTTCTCTCATGTCCTTCAATTTGATCATATATCTATTTTATCCATCATATACGCATAGCAGAAATTTGAAGTTTTTTTATCATGAATTCCTTTCCTACATAATGCATCTTGTCTTTTTAGTGTATAAATTACATGTCAATTGCAATAATTGCTGGTCAATTCCCCACAATGGTAAGGGAGAGAAGTATTGACTAAAAACACTTTTTAAAAAATTATTCACTTATTCTATAAGTTTTCGTTGGGAATAGAAAACTAGAAAAATAATTCTTTGAGGAGCAATCTATAACTTTTAATTTAAAGTGGTAATGTTGGTAATGAATTACTCAGTATTATCTCAAACTTAATTAAAATATACACTAGCACATCTGAAAAAATTGTAGACAAGTCTGCTGTTCTCTAGGTTTTTTTTTTTCACTGTAATTCTTCAGTCATTATATCAAATCAGTAATGTAGTCATTATTTCCAAAATGTTTATTATGGCAGGTTATGTGCTAATGATTATTGAACAACATTTATTTTAACAATATTTTTAATTTCCAATTAATCAATGGGAAAGTACTTTCTTAGTGTACTTTTTTTTTTTTTTTCTTTTTTTGTTGAGACAGAGTCTTGCTTTGTCGCCCAGACTGGAGTGCAGTGGCCGGATCTCAGCTCACTGCAAGCTCCGCCTCCCGAGTTCACGCCATTCTTCTGCCTCAGCCTCCCGAGGAGCTGGGACTACAGACGCCCGCCACCTCGCCCGGCTAGGTTTTTGTATTTTTTTAGTAGAAACGGGGTTTCACCGTGTTAGCCAGGATGGTCTCGATCTCCTGACCTTGTGATCCGCCCGTCTCGGCCTCCCAAAGTGCTGGGATTACAGGCTTGAGCCACCGCGCCCGGCCTCTTAGTGTACTTTTAATAATAAATTCATCACACGATTATAATAAACAATGAATTTTATTTTTCCACCTAATCTATGCCTGTTCCCCAGTAACTTCATATTATTATTATGTATTATTATTATTGTTATTATATATAGAGACAGGGTCTCACTCTGTTATCTAGGCTGGAGTACAGTGGTTCAATCATAGCTCACAGTAACCTCCAACTCCCAGACTCAAGAGATCCTCCCATCTCAGCCTCATAAGTACCTGGGACTTGGGGCATGCTCTACCATGCCCAGCTGATTCTTTTATTTTTTATAGAGATAGGGGTCTTACCATGTTTCCCAGTCTGTTCTCAAACTCCTGGCCTCAAGTGACCCTCCCATCTTGGCCTTCCACAGTGCTAGGATTAGAGGCTAATTATTAATAATAATAATTTTTTTTGAGAAGGAATCTCACTTTGTCACCCAGGCTGGAGTGCAGTGGCACCGTGTTGGCTCACTTCAACCTCCGCTCCTGGCTTCATGCAATTCTCCTGCCTCAGCCTCCCGAGTAGCTGGGATAACAGGTGCCCACCACCAATCCTGGCTAATTTTCTTATTAGTTATTTTAAATCACGACCTGTAAATTACGTGTTATTGTGACATTTAACAATATCTCTGCTTTCAGAGTGTGTATTTCTAAAGGGCCAACATGAAAGTATTACAATTGCATTGAGGAAAACCAAGCAGTCAGAAGAAATAAACCTATCTCTGTTATTAATTTTAGAGCAGCAGCCTACAATCAGCATATTTTATTGCGCATGAGGACATAGGAAGTGAGGGCCTTCCCTCCCTCCTTTCATGGATGCGGGGAGATCATCTTAATATCCAATGACCTGAAAGACTAGGAGGTAGAATGTTTTATCAAATCTGTTGAACCGATAATGTGTACAGTACAAATAGAGTGAAAACACCAAGAGTGAGCACTGGAAAAAGAAAAGAAAAAAGTAAAACAATGAGATTTATTCATTCTAAGTAGGACCAGTTCCACCTTAGAGTGGCTTTCCACCTTTTTTAGTGTCACATTTAAGAGGTAAAGTGAAGACGTGTGTGATTGAGTTTAATTCAAAAATCCGAAAGGCTTGCAGGGAGAGAACGCTATACCATCTGCGGTGTAGACTGAGGCGTATTTCAATACTCTGAAGTTAGAAAGTATGAAATTTGGTGATTTGGGGAGTATGCTAATACTATAGGGAATTTTAAATATTAGCTAGTCATTTCGCTGTTTGAAAAAAAGAATCTTAACTCAGTTTCACTTTTTACATACTTATATGATTGTTTTGAAAGGAATGTTAAACACATTATTGGGAAACAGGTATTATTGTGGGCTGTGCTTTCTTTGTACTGTCAGGGAATTACACTGAAACTCATGGTAATGCTACTAAAATAAAATATTACAAACACTTATAAATAACGCATAAATGCACAGTCTCCAGAGACCCTGATATACTAATTTTATAAACTTTTAAAAATTATGTTTCTCATTTTCCACCAAAAGTTTTCTTTAAATTTGTATATACCTTTTGAGAAGTGTCTTTGTTTCATTAAGAAATTATAAAATACAAAATAAATAAGGAAAAATAAAATTCACTAGCAATTCCATAGCTTAAATTTAACTCAAATGTTTATTTTATATTTCTGTTCTCTTTATTGTATACACATGTAATCATTTTTATAAAATGAGAAAATAATATCTAAAAAGAACAATGAGTAAAGTCAACTTAAATACAGAATTGACTTATTTACATAAGTCCAATTCATAGAAAATAATAATAGAAGAATGTTGCCTTTCATCTTTCAAAATTGTATGCTACACAATTTTCAAATTATGAACCCAGGGTGTTCTTTCATGTTTCACTAGAAGAGGACGAAAACACTTTCTAAACATTACTTTTTCTGTTACCTAACAATAAGAGTTTAATTATTATGGATATGTTGACTTCCTATAACAACATACAATTAAACTAAGAGACTAACTTTTAGATGATGAAGAATAGAAAATCTTCCTAACTTTTGCAATATACACACATCTGTAGATAAGAATGTCATTGGCACAATGTTCATCATGTTTGACTTATCTCCATGAAAAGTCATGTGTCTTGGAGGAAATGTATAAGGTAGATATAATATTTTATGGATATATCATAGATAAGAAGACAAGACAAAACACTATGGAAATACAGAGGAAGAAGCGATTAAGTAAGTCACTTTGGGGAATTTGAGGAAGGTCTCACCATGAAGATGACATTGAACTGGATGAATGTTTAGGAAACTTGCCTTTTGCATTGTGCCTTTAACAAGAAGTTTGATTTGTTATGTAAGTCTTAGGTTTCCTTCATACTTAATTTGACCTAATAGCAAAGGTATACAACTGATAAAGGGAGTGCTTTATTCTAAGAGAAGTTTTGTAATAAAAACTTCCTCTTGGTGATTTGAATTCAATGAACACAAAGGAATTCTCTAATACCCTTGTTTAACCTGGCAAAACCTAAAAGAAAACAAAACAGTAACTTTCCTCTGAAAGCTTAAACTATGA